TCCACCCTCTTAGATTTGTTGATTTTTTAAATCCACACGTAAAATTTTATCAATCCCTCTTGAATTTCATCTGATTAGATTTGATTCAATGTTCTAGCCTGTCAAAATCCTTTTGGACACTCTCACATGTAAGCTACTTCCTCCCAACGTATATAACCCAAGGGAACTTTGCCTCATAGTCTCTGCCTTCAAATCTCCCAAGAGACAAGGTAATTCAATGTGGGAGCAAGGCAGAGCAGATCCTGGGACCTTTCTATCTTAAAGGGCTTGTCCTAAGGCTATGCTAACAGATGAAGGGATGCCTTGGGACTATACTGAGTGGACCAGCTGGGAGAGAAGATGATACACTACAATCAGTTATCACCCATAATCTTGAGCTACTATGACTCTTACTCTAGATACTGGGGGTGAGGGTAAGGAGAGTAGAAGGAGGAGGAGTGGTAAGAGTCTTGGTGGAAATACTAAGGAATACTAAGAGTCCTTCCCTCTTTCCTCCTGGAGCCTTGGGAATGTATAGGAAATTTCCTAGCACCAAAGAGTATGAAGGGGGAAAGGGACGGAAAGAAAGATGACAGTGTCTATCTTGAAGGGGTATAAGAAAATGTTTTACTTTCATTTTAATTTTGAGTATTAAAACCACATTATTAAAACTGCTACAATCCATATAGTATGTTCTTGAATCCATTGGATATAGAGAAAAATTGAGAGAAGAAATTATCCCAAGGGACAAAAAAAAAACTGAGCCAAAATAATTGTAATAATTACTATATTTTAATATGTTGTTAATCAATAGTAGACTAAGAAAACAGTAACCCAAACTAAGGGTAAATACTGCTTTCCTTCTGAAAAGTGAAGGGCAAAAAACAAACAAAAACAAAACTGGGTGGCCTCCATTGGAGGTAACAACTGAAGTTGAGTGCCACCTATTGGCTGACTCAGATATTTTTCACTCTGAATTACTACAAATCCCTTGAGGGGATTTAACCTGTGACAGCTGTCTTCCTGCATATTTTAAAAAGGCAGCATAAATCAAATGCAAACAGTACATGCAAGACAAGCTGTCACCTTACCCTTTGTTCGAATAATTCATTCATTCAATCAATCAACCAAAATGCATTATTATACTTACTATGTGTCAGGCACTGGGCACTAGGCACAAGAATGCAAAATGCCACAAACAAATACAAGAATACAAAAATGAGACAGTCCCTGATCTTCAAGTAGCTAACAGTCTAGGGATAGGGAGAAAGAGTGAATAAAAATATCTTGAACAACTACTCTACAAAGCCACAATTATTAAAAACAATTTGATATTGGGGAAGAAATAGAGGTTGACCAGTGGAACAGACTAAGCGCACAATGGACAAAAGCGAATAAACACAATATTTGGTATTTGGTAGTATTTGGTAAATCCAAAGATCCCAGCTATTAGGACAAGAACTCACTATTCAACAAAAATTGTTGGGAAAACTGGGAAGTCTGGCAGAAACTAAGCATAAACTAACATCTCATACTGTATACCAAGACAAGCTCCAAATGGGCACATGATTTAGACATAAAAGGTGACATCACAAACTGAGAAGCACGGAAGAAAATTACTTGTTAGATCTATAGATATGGGGAAAAATCAAGATAAAACAAGAGATAGAGAGATTCATGGAAGGTAAAATGGAAATTTTTCATTAAAGGAAGCTTTAAAATGTCTGCATAAATAAAGCCAATGCAGCTAAAATTAAAAGCAAGAAGTTGAGAAAAAGATCTTCGCTAAAAATTTTCTCTGATAAACATCTGATTTCTATGATATATAGGGAGCTGATTCAAATGTATAAGATTAAAAGCCATTCCTCTATTGATAAATGGTTTAAAGGATATGAGTAGGCAGTTTTTGGAAGAAATCCAAGGTACCCAAATACCATTGATCAAAAAATGTTAAACAGCACAGAGCCAAGGATAGACTCCGAGGTACATTCCACTAGGAATTCCCTCCACAATGTCACTGATCTATAAATGACCACGTGTAAAGTCCAGTTACTTGACTAATCCCAAATCTTGGTTATCCTTTGTCTCCTGCTGCCCCCTGAGCCATTATCACTAGGCCCTGCCCTCAATCCCTTCTATCAACGTGGGTTCCAGGAGAAATTCACGGATGGCTTCAATGGGCCAGCCTTGGACTTATCTTGCTCCACTCTAGGCCTCTTACAAAACTTGCTGGACATTTCCAGCTATGCGTGTTTACCCTCTTCCCTCCCTTTCTGCCCCCCCTCATTACAATATAAAGTCCTTTAGGATAGGAACCATCTAGTTTAAGCTTATATTTGTATCCCTAGCACTTAGTATAGTGTCTGTCCCGTAGTAAATATTTAATAAATGCTTTATCTATCTATCTTGATACCAGCGGCTTTAAAAGGACAATACTTATTCACATACACACATAGGGTGACACAACTTTGACTGTTCTGAATATCTTGTGAAATCAATATCCTACTCAAAAAGACACAAGGATCCCTGATTTAGAGATAGAAGGAGACCTAGAAGCCATTGAATTAATTTGAGGCCATTTGATAGATGAGGAGCTAGGAAAAGTGGTCCCATAGCTAGGAAGTGCCTGAAACAGGATTTGAACTTACCAATCTATCCACTTTACCAACCTAGCCGCTTCTCAAGGGTAGCTTTGATTTGGGGAAGGGCCAAAGTCATAAAACCGTAAGATCATGGATTCAGAGGGATTTTATAGATTAGGTATTGGTCATTTGGAGCCAATAGAATCAAAGCTGATTTTCCTATGTGGTTCATGAACTAGATTGGGAGGCACTTCCTAAAGAGTACAGGGCACAGTGGATAGAGCACCAGGTCTGAAGTTAGGAAGACTCATCATCCAGAAATGAAATCTGACCTCAGACACTTACTAGCTATATGACCCTGGGCAAGTCACTTCACTCTGTTTGCCTCAGTTTCCTCATTTGTAAAAGGAACTGAAGAAGGAAATGGCAAACCTCTCCAGTATCTCTGCCAAGAAAACTCAAAATGGGGTCACAGAGGGTCAGACATGACTGAATAACCACCACCCAAAGAGCACAGATACGCTGAATCGGTGGACATCTCACAGATATAAATGGATCACCTCCAAGACTACCCTAACGAACGATGATCTCAGCACCTACCTGACAATAAACCTCTGGTAGGACCTGTAAATGTGTTCTCTTACCTTAGAGTGACACCTTGAGCCCAGTCAGCAAAATCGCTACGTTCTTATCGGACAAGAACATGAGATATGGAACAGACTATGGCAGGCTTCCCCAAGCCTTCCTCTGGGTGTGAGAAAAGAGCAAATGGTTTGGCACAGCCCCTGTGGCACGTGAGAGGGATTTGTAGAGTGCATGGTTGCCCAGCAGTGAGGGCCCCAGTTGAGGTTAGGTACCACGAAGCAGGATGAAATCAGTTTAAATCCATATCTTTCTTCAGTGAAAGAAAAATCTGCTGCTGAGAGTTCTATCTGGGAGTTAAGCGTTACAAATGTCAGGAGGGATCCAAGAGAAACCCAAAAGACTAGTGATGAAGCATACTATCTGCCTCCAGAGACAGAACTGATATATTTGAATATAGACTGAAGCAGGCTATTTTTCACTTTCTTTCATTCTTTTTCTTTTATTCGAGTCTTCTTGTACAAAATGACTAGTATGGAAACGTTTTAAATGATTGCACATGTATAACCTATTCTGATTGCTTGCTGTCAAAGGGAAGGGAAGGAATGGAGAGAGGAAGGGAGGGAAAGAATTTAGAACTCAAAACTTTTTTAAATGTTTAAAAAATTGTTTTTACATGTAATTTGGGGGAAATATTATATATTAAAAAGAAAAAAATAAAATGCCACTACCTAAAAAAATAATAATAATAAAGGAATGGGCAAGCAATCAATCATTCAGCTGGCATTTATTAAGTGCCTACTATGGAGCAGGTACCATGTTAAGATCTCGGGATTCAAAGACCAAAATGAAAGTTTCTGCCCTCCCTTAAGGAGCTTCCATTTTAGCTAAAGTAAACAACATGTCTATAAGTACATACAAAAGAGATACAACATAACATAGATGGAAGGCAGTAGTAGCATGTAGACAGATCTGGAAAGGCTTCTTGTAGAAGGAAACTATTGGCAAAGGACTCTAAGGTAGTGACAGGTGGGAAAGAGGGATGGATTGGAGTCAAAAGAAATAGGTTCAAATCCTGGCTCTCCCACTCATTGCTTGTGTGACCTTGGGCTGGACAATTCACCACTCTCAGCCTCAGTTTCCTCATCTGTAAAGTGAAAAATTGAGCTCTTTGACTTCTCATTCTAAATGATTCTGTGAGGTATTCAACAGAAGAGCACAGGATCAGGAGAAAGGCTTCATACTAAAGGCACCTGAGCCCAAGGTAGGGCAGATTGTCTGGAAGAAGAGCAGGGTTAGTGTGAGAGGGAGAGGAAAAGATAAGGAAACTGAGGCTGGGGAATACATCTTCACACTTTTGAGTCTTGGAAGTGATGCTACTCCAAAATACAGTGAAGTCAAAGGTCAACAGGCAGCTGAACCCCAGTGGAGTGTTTTGGGGTTAAGAATGTAAAGATGGAGGCAATATGCTGAGAAATGACCCACATGCCCACCTTTCCTTTCCCTTTTCCATCTCCCCTCAGAGCTGACAAGCAGAGCCCCACTCCCACCATGATCCTCTGGGGATGGTTCACACTGAAATCAGAGAGATGAGGCTGGAGGCATGATTTTAACACACACTCTAAAAATCCAGTGAAAACTCTCCTACTAAGAAAACCCACAAATGTTGCAGGTTTGGCCAACTGTGCTGTTAATGCCTTGTGGTGCTCACTTGCCCAGGGGCATCCCCTTTGCAGATATCACTTTCCAAGTGACCTGACTCACAACGCCACAGAACACAACCCTGTCCAGGGGCGGGGAGTGATAGGTTAACTGTGATGTAATAAACTGAATATTCAAGTGGATGGAGACCAATACACAAGGTAAGCCAAGGCTCCCCTTCCTTCCGGGAGTGAGTGGGGATTCCCGCTATAACCTGACTGGGATAATAAGAGGTAAGAGGCTGTTGTAGTCTTGGCGTAAGCCCTAAGATACCTTAATTGAGAATAGTAGACTCTCTAGGAAAATGACATGGGAAGGGAGAGGAAAGAGAAAAGAAAAATAGAGGAGAGGGATGTGACAGTTGAGGTCCAGGGTAAGTGTTAGGCACCCTACCCCGGGAGCCAGGACACCTGGGTTCTGGTCCTGGCTCTGACCCCCGAGTCATCCTGCAAACTCAAGCAATCTGTTTGCTCTCTCTGGGACTTGTTTTCCTCTGTAAAATGAAAGATTTGGAATAACGTCTAGAATGTCTGAGGGGGTTGAAATGAATTCTAAGGGTTTTTCAGCCTAAAAGATTCTAAAAGTTAGGACTACGGGTCCTTATGACCATATAAACCCTCAATATCCCTGCTCAGATTCCCATCCAGAAAAGCTCTACCTTTAACTATCCACCCAGATCCTACAGGCAACACCTCCAAACTTTGTGGAAAACTATTACTCATCTCCACCACCACCTCCACCCACTGAGGTTTGTGCAATTCCACTTTTCTAGGTATCACTGTTCTTCAGGGCCCCCCCCTTTTTCTTTTTTTGGCTAGGCAATGGGATTAAGTGACTTGCCCAGGGTCACACACAGCTAGTAAGTGTTATATGTGTCTGAGGTCACATTTGAACTCAAGTCCTCCTGAATCCAGGGCCAGTGCTCTATCCACTTCGCCACCTAGCTTCCCCTCAGGGCCTTTTCTTGACCCTCCTCTCCACCAGCCCAGCTCTCCTCCACCCTCAGCTACCAGGGAGTAGGCCCATCTTTCAAAGGGATCAGAAAGGCCAGGCTAGCTATAAGAGAATGTATACCCTCGGCTCCCTACACTGACCCGGTCTCTCTCTCTCCTCCCTGCCCAGGAGAACTTCGGTTATCATGAGGCTGATCAGGGGGAATCCAGTACTGGAGGTCCTTTTGGGTGCAACCTGTGGGGGACTGCTGGTGCTACTGGTAGGTTGGTCACGAGGTGGCTGGATGCCTTCAGGAAAGCCAACATATAGCCCCAGGACTGAAGACACACTGACTTTTACCTTACAGAACTTCACATGGAAAGCCCAGTTTCCACTTCCCCTGGACAGGGAGCCCACCCAAGTATTCCCCTTCCTTCTCAACCATCCAGACAAGTGCCAAGTTTCAAGAGGGGTGCACTTCTTGCTGATGTTGGTGATGACTCAGCCTCAGGACCAAGTTGTGAGAGATGCCATCCGGTACACATGGGGGAATGAAACCGCCGTACCTGGTGTGACCATCCGTCGCCTCTTCCTAATGGGCTTGTCCTCTTTCTCCTCCTCCTCCCACCACCTGCTAGAAGATGAAAAGCACGGGGATCTACTCCAGGTGGGTTTCCTGGATACCTACCACAACCAGACCCTCAAAACCCTTATGGGACTGGAGTGGGTGGTCCAATACTGCCCCACGACCCATTATGTGCTTAAGGTGAATGGAAATGTCTTCCTGAATCCCAGTCTACTGGTGCAGCAGATACTGAAGGCTGAGCAACAACCCCAGCCAGACTTCATCACTGGCTGTATCTACAGAAACAGAATCCCCATTCGAAGGCAGTCCCATCCTCAGTACATGCCCCTAGACATGTTCTCCCATGCCAGGTACCCACCATACTGCTGCAGCCCTGGTTATGTGCTATCTAGACCCCTGGCCCTTAAGGTTCTCTCCATTGCCCGAAAAGTGCCAGCTGTACACCTGGAAGATGTTTTTGTGGGGTTGTGCCTGCACCAGCTAGGGGTGGAACCCACTCCCAGTCCCCCCAACACCTTCCTGATGTTTGGCCGATTATACAATCGCTGTGACTTCCGTGGCTTTGTCCTCGTCCATCCCTTCAAGCATGAGGAACTTCTTCAGGTCTGGCCTGACTTTCAGAAGGGCAACACCACCTGCCCGTTGGAGTGAAGGGCTACGATGGGAACACTTCTCAACTGGACCCTGATTTCCCTCTTCTTCCAGCAGGCATTTTCTATACTGGAGGGCCCTCCTGATTCCTCCCTACTCTCTGCAAGACAGACTGAACCACCCCACTCCCTACCTTGTTTCCCACAGACCTGAATAGTTCTATTAAAGGTGGTGACCGAAACGCCTTCATCTAGAGGAAAGGACAGAGCGAAGGAGAAAGCATGGGAAGGGAAGAGAGGGGAGAGGGAAGGGAAAGGTCTAGGTTCAAAAGAAAACAGACTGGTATAAAGGGCTCTGACCAATGAGTCAAGGGTCCCGCGTTTGAATCTTAGCCCTGCCAGCAATTCACTGTGCATCATTGGTGGTAATGTCAGTGTCCTGGACCTGTTTCCCCAACTGTAAAATGAGAGTGTTGCACCAAATGCTGCTAAGGCAGCACCTGGCTGGGAACTGATACTTCCAGGCAGTGCCCATTCCCTTACCCCACCAGGGCTGGTAGGATAAAGATAGGACATACTTCATAAAAGTAGTGCCCTCTCTGGCTCCATAGCTGCTTCTTGATGCAATGAAGGCCTTTTTCTAGACTTACAAAAATATTTGCCAGGTAGCTGCTGCAACACCTCCACATTCAACCCAAAACCACCAAACATTGCTCCTGTACCCCACCAAAACCAATGCTTCTCAATAGTCTTAGTCACGTAAATCTGATGGAGCTAGAGAACCAGATGGGTGGGTTCCAAAAAAAATCATTCTGGGAAGGCATTTTGGAGGTACTCTTAAGCCCCCAACTTTCATCTGAACCACAGCCAAAGCCCTGCTTGCTCCAAGCTAGGGTTCCCAGGGTAAGCCTAAGGTGTTGAAAACACTGGATCTGTGGTTGAAAAACCTGCTTGCTTACTCCCTCCATGACCTTGGCCAACTCACTTAGCCCCTCTCTAGGACATCACTCTGCTCATCTGTAAAATCAGTAGATCTAACTCCAATGGTCTCTTTCAAATATAAAAATCCCATGATCCTATGAACTTACAAAACCTTTTGGAGCAGCTAGCTGGCGCAGTGGATAGAGCACCGGCCCTGGATTCAGGAGGACCTAAGTTCAAATCTGGCCTCAGACACATAACACTTACTAGCTGTGTGACCCTGGGCAAGTCACTTAACCCCATTGCCTAAAATAACAACAACAAAAAGTGTCAGACCACAGAATCTTTAAAAAAAAATTTTTTAAAAAAACCTTTCCCAGTGTCTGAAAATCATGCTGTTAAATGTCTGAATTACAACCACAGATTCGGAGGGCCAAGACTTGGGCCATTCACCCCTGGGAGACCAGAGTTGGGAAGACATTGAAATTTCTCCATTACGGGATAGACACATAAAACACACATCCATCAGGGCAGGCCCATTTTCCTTTATTTGTGTAGAGGACCATACATTCGGGTTCCTAGGTTCATCATCTAGGCAACAGAATGTGGTGGGAAAAGTTCTGGAGGTAGATGACCTGGGTTCAAACCCCAGCTCTGTCCTAGTTTGTGCTCCACCTGTGATTTTAGGCAAGTCATAACCTCTCCCAGCCTTAGTCTCCTACAAAATGAGGGTTGAACTGGATTGCATCTAAGGTTACTTCCAGCTCTAAATCAATGACCATATGAACCTCTACTCCCAAGCCATTTTCCCCCCTCTGAACCCCACCAGTCAGAATTAATCACATGACATCATAGCAATGCAAGAGGACATTTACTTAAAACCAAAGATATATAACAGGAGATAAGAATCAAGCAGCAAACCTTCTCACCACCCGTTTCCCAAACTACAACCTCCCAAACTTCAAGGGAATGTAGGTTGTGAGTCCTCCTGTCTCAGCTTCCCTGATGGCTTAACAGCTTGGCACTGTAAGCTAGTTGAACAGGATAAAAGAGGTTTTTGAGTTCGATTTCTGGGCCCTTTCCTGAGCTGTGTATCAGCATGTCACAGCAAACTAGACCCTAAAGGTCTATTAGCAACTTGCCCAGCAACTGAAACTCAGGTTCTGAAAAGAATCACATCTCAGGACAATAGAGATGTGAAGTCTTGAAACTCTGGCCTCTCTGGGCAAGAACCACAGCTGGGAGAATGTCTGCAGTCACTGCTTCCCACCACAGAAGGGGACATGCCTCCTGTTATTAGCCCCCAGAATTAGATGATTCCTGACTCCACATCCATTTTTTTCTCTTCTCTCTTCTGGTGCCCTGCTTGAATATTCCTTCATTCTGTTTCTCGAGAAAGTTTGAGCCCAGCCTCTCACCAAGATGGCTGCAAATTCTCTAACCAGTCGATGTGGGACAGCATCATCTGTCAGGGATATAGATGACAGTGGGGATGTTTTTCCCCACCCAAACATCCCCATTTAATGTACATTCATCTATATTTAGGATGCTGGAATTATCCAGGCATACACTTTAGTCACAAGAAACTTCCTGACCGCACCAACCCCAGACCCCCAACACAAAACTCTAGGACTGGAAATAAGACACAAGGGATTAATGGGGCAGTGTTCAAAACAGCGTAGTCACCTAGAGTGGAGTGTCCACAGATAGTCATTAGCAGCTAGACACACAGAGCAGCCACCATCAATAACAAAATAGGAAAAAAATAACTTCCCATTTTTACAGTGCTTTGTATCACAGAATTATAAAAGCTGACATTTATATAGTGCCTCAAGGTTTGTAAAGCACTTTACAGACAATACTTCATTTGATCCTCCTAACAACCCCGTGAGGTAGGTACAAGAGATTTAAATGATAGACTCACTGAAGCTCAGGGCTTTAGGGTACCTCAAAGGGTGTCTGGTCCAACCCATAGCTGAAGAGGCATCTCCATAAAAACAGCCCAACCAAGTCGTCTGGTCACTGCTTGAAGACCTCCAATGAGGCAAAACTGAAACCTGCCTCTTTTCACCTACTAATTGTTCCTAGCTCTGACCTATGGGGCCAAGTAGTATAAAACCTAATTCACTTTTTTACAAACAGCCCTTCAAAAACTTGCTCTTCCCCCTCCCCCAATCTATTCTAAGCCAAATATACCTAGATGTTCTAGCCAATCTTCACATGGCCACGTCCGGCGCCCTCACCACCCTGGTTACCATCCTCCCAACATACTGTAGTTTCTCAATGTGATTTCCTAACATGTGCATCCCAGAACTAAATTCAGTACCCCAGAGGAGGCCTAACTAGGACAAAATACATAAAATGCTTTCACAAGCATTTCTCAACACCCTTTAAGAGGCTAAAATTTTGTGAAGATGAAGGTCATGGGATCTGAGTTTAATCAGAAGGTCAAGGTGTTCAAGGAAGAAATCAACATGTAGACGGAAGTCCACAAATATGAAGGCAGGGGTTTGGGTTGAAAGGAAAGCTATAAGCCAGAAACTAAACTCCTTGAGAAAAAGCAGGGAATCCACAGCTGGTACAATTATAGCAACAAACATCTGGGCTTGGTCCTAGAAATGGATGTCATGAACTTCAAAGGCTGCAGTGATGGTGGGTGTTCAAGCAGTAATTTGAGGGGAATGAGGAGTTTGATAGTACCAACTCCAGGGAGAGAGAGAGGGAGAGAGAGAGAGAGACAGAAAGAGAGAGAAAGAGAGAAAAGAGGAAAGGGTATGGGAGGGGAGAAGAGAGAGAGAGTGAACAGTGTATGTGTATGCAGGATGCACACGAGTGCACCTGCTAAGAAAAGGAACAAACAACACTGGAAATAGTGGTCAGGGGATAAGGCATCTTTCTGGGAACGGCAGGTTGCCATGAGCGTAAAAATGTAAGACATCCAGGATGAAGGGGGCCCGTTAATGATCTAGATAGAACGTGGGTTCATAACCCTTTTCATCTCACTGTCCTCAGGCCTTTAGTTCCAGAACGAAATAGAATACAGCTTTTATAAATCTTCAATTCAACAGAGGGCAGCTGATGGGCAAAGGGGAGCAGCTGCCTCAGGATAGACACTGGACCAAACCACAGGGTTGGAGACCCTGAATCTCCTGAGGAGTCATAGGGATATATGCTCCTCTTGGGACAGATGCTCCTCTGCCATCTCGGAAACTATTCTGCACCATCTTCCAGTGAATTCAGGCCCTTCAAAGTCTGTAGGACTCACACTGGACACCGGAGAACTTCTTCCAGTCTGGTAACCAAACTGTCCCAGAAATCCTGTCGTGATGAAAGCTGGTGCACACAAGAACTGTCCAGGAGGCTGGACAACAGCCAATAGAACGTAGTACCTGTGGCAGGAACTTCAAGCATTTTGGGGCTTAGTCTCCCACCACAAATTCTGTAATAAAAAAAATTTCTGGGAAATTTCAGAGCCCCCAGGGGCTTTTGAATTTGCAGTTTCTGCAGGACAACTGCTCTGGTTCAATGTCACCTTCTAAGTGAAACTTTCCTTGACCCCCTGTCAGAAATGATCACCTCACCATACCATCCCACAGAGTTATTTTAACTCCCTTTTCTCTACCCAGAAGCCCAAATGCTAATGAAAAGACCAGGACACACAGTGACATCCCAGGCAGCCAGCCAGTTGTGGAATGAGAAGACATCTAGCCTCTGAGTGATCGACTGACCACACAGAACACAGCAGCAAGGAAAGTGGGATTGGGTGATATGTTAACTGTGATGCAATAATTATTAATAAGTATTAAAATGAGGGGAGGGAAGGTAGCAACAGTCAACATGGGAAACCGAGGTCCACCTTCACTTAAGGAATGAGAACCTTGTCTGGGCTGGGGATTCCTGCGGTCACTTGGGTAGGGCAAATATAAGCTGGTAGAAGGCCCCTGTAATCCTGACACTATCCCTGAAAGCTGAGTTTAGGCTGGGAGAAGTCTCCTGTGGAGGGCTGCTGAGAGGAGAGAAAAATCCAGGTTAGGAAGGGAGGCACCTGATGTGGTAGGAAAGGCCCTTGGTTTGGAAGACACAACCAGATTCTAGTTGTGACCCTACCAACTCATTCAGTAGCCTTGGGCAAATCACTGCTCCCTCTCTGAAACTGTTTCTCCATTTGCAAAATGAGGGGGACGGACAAAATGATTTTTAAAATCCTTTCCAGTTCTAAGACTCTCATGGATAAAACCTATGAGAACCTTATCCCGTTTAATGTCCACACGAACCCCCCCCCACCGGCCCCACATCAGCATTGTTTGCTTTACTAGGAGATGCATCTGCTTGCTGTGGGACCCTATGGAATTCTCTTTCACCCATTTTAATCAACT